GGAACCCTACATTAGAAATCAGAAATAAAATTTTCCAAAAGGTTAAAAAAAAAACCCCCTAGGGTACCCCTTTAAGAAACCCCTTTTAAAGAAAGAAATTTTTTTTGGGGTTTTTTTAAAAATTTTTAAAAACCAAGGTAAAATTAAAGTTGGAAAAACTTGAAATGTTTCAGGGGGGTTTTTAATCAAATGTAAAGGTTTTATGAAATTAAATTCTGAAAGTACAAAAGGGGCACCAAAGTATGTTAAAAATTGTTGTTTAATAAATGTTTTTCCCGAAAACCAAAATGGTAAGAAAAATTGCTGTAAGTTAAAAAATGTGGTTTTTTCTGGGGGCCTTTCTTTTTTAAAAAAATTATAAAAAAAAAAAAAAAAACCTTTTTAAAACCCCCCACTTTTAAAAATAAAATTAATAAATCAATAAAAACAAAAAAAATTATTTTTTTTCATAAAAAAAAAATTTTTAAATTTATTAATTATTTAAAAAAAAAAAAACTTTTAAAAATTTTAAAAATTTCAAAAAAACTAATAAAAAAAAAAAAAAAAAATTTAAAATTAAATTTAAAATTTGGGAAATTTTTTATTAAAAAATATTTTTATATTTTATTACCCTTTTTTAAATAAATAAAAAATTTTACCCTTTTAAAACTCAAAAACAAAATTATTTAAAACCTTTAAAAAAATTCTTTTTAAAAAACAAAAAAATTTTTATCATAAAAAAAAATTTTAAAAAATTTTATAAAAATTTTACCCTCATAAAATTTAAAAAATTTAAAAAATTTAAAAAAAAAATTCCCCTTTTTTTTTCTCAAAATAAAATTTAAAATTTAAAAAAAAACCAATTTAATAACCCTAAATTACTAAACAAATAATAAAAAAAAAACTAAATATAAGAAAAATTTTAAAATTAAAAAAAAATTCTAAAAAAAAAATAATAAATTTTAAAATTTAAAACAAAAAATTTTTTCCCCAACCCTTTTAAAAATAAACCCCCTTTTAACATTTTATTTTCCCTAAAAAAAATTTACCTAAATATTTTAAAAAACCTTTCCAAAAATTGGGAAAACTTTTTAAAATTTTAAAAAACATTAAAATTTTTTTCCCCAATAAAATAAAATTTTCAAATTTTACAAAACCCAATTTCCCCTTCTTTTTGGGGGGAAACCTTACCCCCAATCTAAAAACCTTTCCTTTCCCATTTTTTTTTCTAAAAAAATCCTTCCCTTCCAAATAAATTTACATAAAACTAAAATCCATTTTTAAAAATACAAAAAATTTTTTTCAACCCTTTTTCCCAAATAAAAATTTTTAAATTATAACTAAAAAAAAATTTTTAAAAATCTTAAATAATAACAATTTCCAAATTAAACATTAATAAAAAACCAAAAAAATACCAAAAAAAATTTTTAAATTTTTTATACAAAAAAAATTTTTAAAATAATAATTGTACCCTAAATTAAAATTAAAATCCTTTTAATTTTCCAAAATTTTTTTAAAAAAAATTTTTTACCCCCTTTTTAAAAAATTAAAAAACATAAACTTTAAACCCCCCATAAAAAAATTAAAAAAAGAATTTTTTTATTATAAAAACTATTTATTCCCCCAATCCAATCCGGGAAAATTTCCCCAAATTTTTTTTTCTTTAAAAATTACAAAAATTTTATCTCAAAAATTTATTTTTCTTTTTTTTTTAAACAAACCCAATTAAACACATTTCCATTAAAAAACCCATTTTTTTATTTAAATTTAAAAAATTAATAAAATAATTTCAATAAAATTCAACCTTAATTTCTAAATTGGGATCCTTTTAAAAAAATTCAATAAAATAAAAATTTTATTTAAAAAAAAAAATACTAAAAATCCCCAAAATTTTTAAAAAAAAACCCCAAAAAACTTTTCAATTCCAAAACCCCCTTTTTTTTTTAACTTATCAAAATTTTAATCGTTTTATTTAAAATATTTTAAAAAACAATTCCCTTTAAAAATTTATATTCCTTTTAAATTACAAGCTAATTTTTTAAAAACCCTTAAAAAATTTCCTTTAAAACCCAAATAACTTAATAAAAATTTTTAAACAAATAATTATTTCATTTTAATTTTCAAATTTTTAAATTGGGGGGCCAAAAAATTTAAAAAATTAAAATTTATAAAAAAAAAAAATTTTATAAAAAATTTTTTTAAAAAAAATTTCAGGGAACAAATCAATTTAAAATTTTCTAAACAACTTAAAAAAACTAAAAATTTATTTTTAAAATTTAAAAAAATTTAAAAAATTTCAAATTTAAATTTAAAAAAAAATTTTCTTCCACAAATCAAAAAAAAAAAGGGGTTTTTAATTTTTAAAATTCCCCCTTTATACCTAATTAATCCCCCCATTCCAAAAGGGGAATTTTTTTAAAAAAACCCCCCGGGGAAAAAAAAAATACTTTTTTTTCCAAACCAAATAGGAAAAACCAAAAAAAATTTTAAAAAATTAATAAAAAAAAAAAAATCCCCCTTTTTTTAAAAAAAAAAATTTAAAAGAAAATTTTTTTAAAAAAAATTTTTAAAATATAAATAACAAAATTTTACTTCCTTTAATTAATAAACAAATAAAAAACTAACTTAATTTTTTTTTAAAACCCAATTTTTATTATAACAAAATTTTTATTTTTATACAAATAATTCATAAATTTATATAAAAAAACTTTGTTTTAAATTTTATTAATCCTTTTTTTTTTTAAAAATTTTTTAAAAAATTTTTTTTAAATTCCCCAAATTTTTAACATTTTTTTTTAAAAAAAAAACCAACAAAATAATTAAATATAAAAACATTTTTCACCCATTTCCCCAAATTTATTTTAAAAAAAAAAATTACTTTTTTTTAATTTATAAAAAAATCCCAAAATGGAATTTTTTGTTTTAAAAAAAATTAAAATTCCCTTAAAAAAAAAAAATTTAAAAAAAAAAAATTTTTAATAAATAACCCTTAAAAAAACATAACCTTCTTTTAAAATAAAAAATTAAAATTTTACTTAATTTTAAAAAAAAAAAATTTTTTTTTTTTTTCTTTATTAAAAAAAAACTAAAAATAAAACAAAAACAAAACCAATAAAAATTTTTTTTAAAAGGGTTTTTAATCCAAAAGGGAATTTAATTTTAAAAAAACACCCCCGGCCCGTGTGGAAAATTGTAATTTTCCGGAAATCCGGTAATTTATAGGTAAATAGATGGCCTATATTGTATTTAATAAAAATTAGGTTATGGAAAATGGGAAACTGAGAGTCGCCATTTTGTTTGAATTGGAGTAACAAACGTTGTGCATAATGAGAAGAATTTTTCGTGCTCTAGAGGTTAAAATTGGGCTGACACCTCTCAAATAGGAGGCGAGATTGTTGGATGTGCAGTCCTGCATAACTTGAGATATCAGGCAACTGGACAAGACAGCTCCAGGAACTTCAGATGAGTCTGTTATGTTATAACTCTGGCCAGTTATTTTCATGTATAGACAGAGGTTTTCTGAGTATGATACACATTAATCTCCAGTGAAATTGGTGAGTGATATTAAGATATTCCTTCTGTTATGTAAATGTGTGTATATATAATCCTTTTTTAATTTTAATATACAGTTCACAAATTTATATATTTTACCAGCATTCCTGGTGATACATGTTTCATTTGTAATTAATAGGTCCAGAGCAACTTGTGGATATGACAGTGGTAGGTATCGAAGGGGGACATTTTTTGCGACCTAGGTGTCCCAAATTCCTACTTGTCTAACTGATAAATAATAATTATCTTTATTCATTTACTGTTATGTATATAATGATACATCCAAGTAAACGCAATTTTCCACAACAGTATTTAAATTTGGAAGTTAAAGATTCCTGTGCAAAACCAAAAGATTGTAAAAGTTAAGAGATTTTACATATGAACCTATGAGCAGTGTAAGCGTCAGTAAATAGCATAACTGCTGCTGCTGCTTGTTAGGGAGACTAAAGGAGCAACATTAAGGAAGTTAGGTGGTATTCGTTCCAGTCGTCTGTGAAACTGGCACGTTACTGTGGATATTTTTGTGTTTATTGAGGCTTTATGGTGCTACATCTGGGACTGATAGTGAGAATAACACTAAGTTTACAGTAGCACCATTATAATTTTTCGTACAGGACTGGCTTATTACGTGGAGTCCTGGACGAACCGAGGTAATGAAGGTGTCACTGCAAACTTAGTGTGTCACTGTCCGTCATCTTACAGCATCGTTCATACACTTGTTGTGACGGGACAGGTGTAGTATTATGAAGGACTTGGTGCCACTAAACAGTCTTCCTACAATAATTTCGTCTTTCCATCAAGTAAAGTTTCCTACCCAATGAATATGGAATAACATTATTGGCAGGAATATAATGATGATTATAATCTAATATTGTACAATATGAGCAGTCTTTGAACATTTTTTACAGTATATGAGTTTCTAGAATAGTTATCCATATCAGCTTGATAAGCCATGTAAAAACACCAACTTTAATTCCTCAAGGCTCCATCCTCCATGCCTTTCTTCACCTGTAGAACCAACCACGAAGATTTAAAAATGTTTGTTCTGCCCTACCAAACAATTAATCTTACATTAGCAAAAGGCCATTTTACTATTTCTCAAATAGTACCGAAATCTAAAAAAAAAAAAAAATGGACAAAGTTTAGATTGAGAATTAATAGAAAACTTTCAATTTTATATAAAAATTATATAGTCTTATAATACCATTACCTAGAGTTACACCTTAAAATATATCAACATTTAACACTCCCTGTTATGCAGGGTACAAAGCTATAACTGGAGTGAAAGAAAAATTTAGCAGAACAAGGACACAGCGATGAAGTTATTACTCATTAATGCTAAACAGTCAACAATAAACTAAAAAATAAAACATAAAGCGAATCTAATTTCAAACACTATTTTGTATTAGTGTGCATATCACTACTTCAGGATTATTGGTTCTGTGAATAACTGAAGCAAGTTTTGTTACCTGTTCCTGTTTGAGGAGATGAACTGGACGATATTCATAGTCAACTCCCTTGTGTGCCAGAGCTGAAAGGATATACAGACACATGTAACACCAAATCTGTTATCATTATAAGCATAACTAAGCGCTAAACACACAAGGATCACAGCGCTGATCGAAGCTGTAAAAGACGAAATACAAATACTATAAGGCGGACTCGGAGCACACAAAGAGCAGCTTCATGTCGGACTTTAAAAGATAACAGCACAGTCAAAAATGCCACTTCCACTACAGTACCAGTATCAATTACATTAGTTATCCCCCAAAATAGTATCATGAGGTATCTTATCCTCCTAGGTACTGCTGGGGTGAACCAGGACAACACGTTAAGGCGCTTCATAAAAAGCTGTAATTCTGTGAAAATCTTTTCAATTTCTTTATACTTTTGCATACATAAGGTCAGTATGTTATAATTAAAAGGGAAGTATGAAATAGAACACTAGACTGGTGGTGATAAAAGTAGAATTACCGACAATATGTTAGGTAAAAGGACACACGTGCAACTAATGTGACATTTTATTGTGGCAAGGCTTCGTCCTTCAGGAGCTCTTTCAAGGTAACATTACGGCTTGACAAAGCTCCTGGAGAGCGAAACGTTGCTATGGGGGGGTGTAGACATATGCGAAAGCTCTGTCGTAGTTCGAACCACAGGAGAGAGTAATCACATACAAGCTCAACAAGATTTGTTCAGTCCTGTGGCGTTACTAACCAGGTTGTTAAGGGCATCACAAGGAAAAGCAAAGACGAAGACTCACCAATTCTGACACGCCAAGAGCAGGAACTTCGGTAGTACGAAAACAGGATCGGCTGTGGGCAAGAGAAATTTCAAATTAACGAGAATGTTGTCAAAAAGCAGGTGTAACGAGAGGTATAACTGGGGTGTACATGGATAAGGTTTCGGAGGACAACTCCCCCACGGCCAGGTCTGCTAAGGAAGTTAAATTTTGCTAACTGGTAGCCTTTATTGTACATACTATGGGATTTACTGAAAACTTAAAAAAATTTTTAAGATGACTAACAGGGAATTGAAATTAGGCACCTGATCCACTGCGAGGCCAGGTCATAGGCCGGACTGCGGGGGCGCTGACCCCCGGAACACCCTCTAGGTAATGCTCATGTCCGAGTTAGTGAGACGTCAGCACAACAGTCCAACAAGACCCAGAAGGAAGGGGAGCTCACCTAGAATACTATTGGATCATCCTAGATTAAATTCCACATAATTTACTATCTAAAAACATTGTAAAAGTCTGAAATTATGCAAGGAGCTTAAATCAAAACTTGCTTAACCGTGTGCCAAATATACACAAGGCTTGTGAAGGCGAAATACCAAAACACGTTCCACTTTCCCATCTGTATGGTAAGTGATAAGTAATAACGAAGAATCGAAGAATGTGTCACACAGTAGTTTAACTTCTAGACACCTCTGTCTGACTTTTTTGAGTTATCCTAGGTACTTTACACATATGCTGCTATGTATGATAATCTATGTAACTGTATTTGTGTATACCTGAATAAAACTTACTTACTTACTGAAGATAAACAGTGTGTTCATGTCGGTTGTGTTGTAACCTCGTAGTGTCGGATAAGGGAAGCCAATTATTATATTATAATTATGGGGAAGCGCTAAACCCATATGATTATATAGTGCCTGTAGGGGAGGAGATGGAAAGTATTCGGGCTTAATTCAGGGAACTGGAGCACAGATCCAATTCCCAAGATCAAGAGCCCCTCACCTGCGTCAAGGAACCTCCCTTGAGGGGCAGGGAAGCCAAACATTCAGTCTGTACTAATTTTGTTACTACAAAATATTACACTATTACCTTCATGAGAAGAGAGGGGGATTGCTAAGCCCGTGGAGGTAATACAGCGTCTGAGGAATGGGAAGTAATCTAGTAAGATCTAAGGTTAGGGAGGTCAGGTCAAATTCCAGGGATCAAGTCCTTCACTAGCGTCAAGGAATCTCCGTTTGGGGAAGGTTTCATCAGGGGCTTTTATATACCTTTTTTCTTAACAATGCAGCTTGCTGTTCCTTCAGTAAATATTCAACTAGTATAATAGCCTGGCTATTATATATATATATATATATATAATATATATATATATATTATATATATATATATATATATATATATATAATATATATATATAATATAAATTATACATTAATAGGCAAACGCTAAATCCGTTAAGTGTCATGCAGCGCACGGGGAATGGGGGGGAAAATCAGAGTGATCCAAGGGAGCTTGTTTCCCGGAACAAGACCTATCAACAGCATCAAGGCACCCCCTCCCCCCTCAAAAGGGGGACGTGTGGTGTTACTAGGCCCCACAGCGACGAACAAACCCCTTGGGGATGTGACGTTTAATAGCAAGAAAATAACTTATTACAAATTAATATAGATTTGTCGTATTTTACGATTGCACTCAAAAAAAATGGACGATACACAAAACGAAAATTTTGCATCATCACGTTATGCTCGGGCGTAGACCCCCGGAAACCCTTTTCCCCGGGTAATAAGAGAAAATAGAAAATTTGATTTTTTAATTTTTAAAAAACTCTCCCTTTTTCCCTTAAGGGCCCTTTAAATGAAACATGGGTTTTCATCCAAGGAACGGACTCCCCCACCTTAAACGAAACCTGAATGCCTCCCATTTACCGGGGAGCTAAGTCATCCCTACGGATTTTGGTTTGTTCCGACTAAAATAAATGCAATCAGCCTTGTTAATTAAAATTCGAAACAACAATATATATTTATTATGGAAAAATCTACCTTGGAGCACCCATTTTGGGGGGAGCCTGATACAACACCTCACAAAGGGCAGAAACAGTCTGAACGCAGGCAACCCCGCCCCTCCCCACACCCCTCGTCCCCCACCACACCACACACAAGAGGAGGACTCAAAATGGAAAATGGTTGTAAGTTTTTAGGTATCCACAAATACAGTTGCGTAATTATCATACATAGCAGTTTGTGTAGAAACCTTGAAAACCCAAAAAAAAAGCGACAATGACTTTTTCCTTTTGTAAGTTATTTGGGGACAGGTAACAAAAAATGCGTTAAATAGTTTATATACTAACAGAATGTGTAGATTCCTGGGTAACCTCAAAAAGTCAGTGTGACACTTTTTTTCATTGGGGGTCCTTGAGATAAGCATTATTTTTTTTTAAAAAAAGTTAAAACAGGTAAGTAACAAAAGCTGTGAAAAGGTTATAAGAAAGGAGATATACAGTATGTGGGGAAAAATTTCATTTATCTAAAAGTATCATTATATACATTAACAGTAAATGAACATAGATAATTATTATTAATCAGTAGACAAGTAGGAATTTGGACATCTAGGTCGCAAAAAATGTCACTTCGATACTACCACTGTCATATCACAAGTTGCTCGGACCTATTAATTAAATGAAATATACATCACCAGGAATACTGGTTAAATATATAAAATTTGTGAACTGTATATTAAAATTAAAAAAATGCGATTATAGTATAGACACCACTTAGCATAACAGAAGGAAAATATCTTAATACACTCACCAAATAACTGGAGATTAACTTGTATCATACTCAGAGAAAACCTCACTGGTCTATAAATGAAAAATAACAACTGGCAGAGTTATAACATAACAGGACTTATCTGGTTTCCTGGAGTTGTCCTGGACGTCGGTCCTTGATTATCTCGTAGTTATGCAGGATTGCAATCCAACAATTTCGCTCCTATTTGTGGTGTCTGCCCAATTTTAACCTCTAGAACACGAAATTCATTCCATTTGCACTAACGTTGTATCCAATTCAAATTAACAATGGCGGCCTCTCCTTATGCGCAGACGCAGGCTTTCCGTTTTCTATGACATAAAATTTATTAAATCCAGTATGGTCCATTATTTACATATAAACTACTGTATTTCTGGGATAATATTACAGTATTTCCACACTGCGGCCGGGTGGAGTTCGATGCTAAACAACTCAAATTGCTCATTTGGCAATTGTGGGGACCTGGGTACATCTAGAAATCTGGCATCCACACGGCGAACATAATACACAAGATTTAATCACCCTATTACACTTTGATTCTTGTGGGAATCAGAAAGTTTCCCTATACAATTTAAGGTATCTTGTACCCCACCTTGCATTACTTTTATGGGCATTTAGAACAGCCAAATTTGTTAGATGAGGAGTTTTGGGCAGTAAGATAGGGGGTTTGCATAATCCCCAATTCAGCATATTGTAACCTACCTCTGCACCTAATTATATTGTTTCTATTACAGCCCAATTTTCTCTATTATGGAAACCTTTCATAATTTTTCTTTCCATCATAATTTAATCTCATTATCCAGAGATTTCCTCCTGTACCCTCTTATCCATTATTCAAGAGGATGGTGAAACTTAAATGAAATATTCATTCTTGTTTAGAAATTTAAACACCAACTTAGTTACATTGATTAGTTTGGGTTAACGAAGATACCTATTTATATCAAGGGCTAAGGGAGGACAAAATATGTGGAGCGGTGGTCACTGTAATTTCAACAGGAACATATACAACTTTTGTACAGGGCCAATTAGCTGTATTTACCAATCCAGCTCGGTCCTCCTTTTAAAAATTGATACAGCATTTCAAATTTAGCATAGGTAAACCTAAGATAGACAAGAAATCAGCTGGATTATCCTTCCCCCTCACCAGGTATATGATTAAATGGTAAAATTGCTGACCCAAAGCATTAGACTTATCTTGCATCTGAATAATTTCAGCGACTCTGATTTGTACATACAGAATTTTACTGTTTTCCATTACGGAATCATTTGTAAGGATACCTCATTATTCAGACCAAATTACAGTGTCGATAAAATTTACTCCTGCAACTATTTCTTTTCTAATTAGCTAATTTGACACTATATAAATGGCCTGTTAAAAATTCAACTGAGGAAGTATACGTGATTTATTTGGGAAGAACTTTAGCCTTAGACATAACAATGAGAACTAACACTATTACATTGAAGGTAAAGCAACTGCTCCATATGCCAATTTTGAAGCATCACAAAAAATATGGAGTCATTTTTCTATTTGGATTGGCCACCTGGCGTGGGAAATCCAACACTAAATTTTTTCATAATCACCAATTAATTCATCACACCTGTTAATGAATTCTTCTAGTAGATTCATTCCCAAGCAAATTTAAGTTTCCATGCATCCTGTATTTAATACTTTTCCCTACTTATAGTAAGGGGTGACACTTAACCTAGGGGATCAAAACATTTGGAACTTCAGCAACAAAACTCTCTTAGTTAATTTATTGGGCTTACTGTAATTATTAGCTTTTAACATTAACAAATCTCTCAGTTATCCCAAGTTAACCCAGACATTACTACCATTTTGTACTTCATCTCCAGGGAAATCTTTACTTATTATGTCCTTTAATTTGGACGATACTATTCCATTCCCTCAGAGGCATTTTGCACTTTGCATTATTTTATTAGTCCTCTCCATAAGTCATTAACAGTTCCTTTCAGTTGATGTCACACCCAGGAAATTGTCACATATAAATTGTTTGCTCTTACTGTACTAATGGACTTTCCATACGTTTAAGGTGTGCATTTATTGTCGTTGAAGTAGGAAGATCGGAATGAGTGTAGCACCAAATAATACGTCTTAAAGCGAAAGGTTTTCAGAGGGCTAATTGGGGTCACTGATTCTCAGGCCAAAGAAGCGGGTTACAATCCCAGTCAGCCTATGGTAACCACTTTAGGAAAGCTTTACTTGTCAGCCGTAAAGGCATGCATAATGCTTCACTCTGAATTAATAAGTATCTCCTAACTTTTTCCGTCAAACGAGGACACCTGTCATCATCAGTCATTTAAATAGGTACATTATTGTTACTCCTGGCACTACAATTAAACACAATCTTCAAAAGGAGTGGTTCTTAGAATCCTTCTTCAATCCGTGATGTTTATGGTAAATAGTGACCAAAAAATTTTTGGCTTGCTCAGGAGGTACCTCTTCTATAAATTTTTTAATTAACTGCTTAGCATTATTTTTATCATTATAGGCATTTAACAATTTG